CAACATTCTCCACTTACCTGACTAATTTTTGGTAACAAATACAGGAGAATTCCAAGGGTTGCTGGATTCCTCTATGTTGTCCAGTTTCTAGCTGTTCCTGTACTAACTTTTCGAAAGCCTCTATCTTCTCAGAGGTCATAGGCCATTGTCCCACCCAAACAGGTTCATCTGCAAGCCATTTCAATGGCAGGGCCTTTGGCTCCTCTAAAGGTCCGTCATTTGTACCTAGCTATGGTACAGCATGGATGGTTGGTAACCGTTTTCCATAGCGTCTTACCAGATCTTTTCTACTATCTAAAGATTGTACATAATTTGTATCCAACGATGAAGGAATATTAATCTGAGTATTCCATTGCTGTAAGGAGATCATGAACCAGACATTTATAGCTATATCTGCCACACATGGTTTCAGTCTCCCTTTCTGTCTTTCTGGTCCTATGCAGACCACCAAGTTAACACTCTGTTGAACCCTAGATAGAGTTCCAATTCCTAAACATTGTACATTTGCCTCTTTAAGAGGCCATTTCTGAGGCCAAGCCTTTTTGGTAATAATAGCCACATCAGCCCCAGTGTCTACTAAGCCAGTAATAACTTTATTATTAATTTTCACTTTCAACTGAGGTCTTTTATCATTAATAGAAGTTTGCAAAAATATGCGTTTCTCATTTTGTCCATTCACATTTGACTCTTCATCACTATTCAAGCTACCATGTAGAGCAGTATCATTTTCACAATAGGCAAAGAACTAGCTATTCATCCTGTGAGAGACTGTCTTACACTGCTACTGAGAACGACCTGACTTTTCTCGATGTGGGGGCATCTTGAGGTCCCCCTCGGGGTTTCACGGCCTTAACAGGTTTCCCTGCATGTCCCTGGTCGATGCAGATTCATTGGTCCAGCATCTGCCCTTACCACATCTTCTACACAATCCAGAATGCAGTAGCCTTCGGTATGAGGAATTATTAGAATTTGTTTGTCTACAATTTCTCTTAGTATGTCCCATTTTACCATAGCTGAAACATCTTGGTTCCTGGTGCCTTTGTGGTCTCCTGAGGAAGGCTCTTCCTACCCAAGGTTCTGGTTGATAGTAGTAGTAAACTCTAGCCTCTTGGTACCTATGTTGACCTCTGTAAGGTGCTTCTCCTTGCCAGGCCCTTACTTCCTCACCTCAAATACTTTTAATTTCCTGTTGCCGTTTTAAACCTTTTGAGATGGCTTCTCCTACCCAAACTCCAGCATCTTGCACATTATAATCAATGTTGGCTACATACATACCCATTCTTCTACTGGAACTGATCTGATCTTTAAAGGCAAAAGTATTCTTTTGCATATTGGGTTTGCATTTCCATAAGCTACTGTATATATAATTGATTGTCTTGGTTTTGGATCTGTTACCTGTAATTCTACTGCCCTAGTTAACCTTTGTAAAAAAGTCCTGGAACTGTTCTGCAGGACCTTTCTCTATTCTGGTATAAGCATCCAGGTGTTCTTCTGGCTCACGACCCTTATCCCAGGCATTTAATTCTGCTTTCCTTCATAGGGACAGTAGAGTGTCATCATATTCAACCTGACTTTGTGGGTTATCATAAATACCCTCACCAAGAATCTTATCTAGGGGTTATCCATAACCTTCCTTTATGCCTTGATACTCTAGGAGCTTCACCCCTTCACAGACCAATGCCTTCCATTGGGTTTGGCATGAGTTCTCCATTAGAGCTGCTACCAATCATTCCCAATCTGTGGGTTTCACCGTTAAAGGTTGCCCATGATTGTATTAGGTGTTTTACATATGGACTAAGGAGACCAACTGAGAAAACTGATTCTTTAATATTTATAAGATCCTTCAGCTGTATAGGTTGCCATACATAAGCCCTCTGTTCCTGAAGATGTTACTTAGAAGCTGGCTTTTCTGCCATGGTAGCTGGGTACACTAATGGTGCATGAGTAACAACCTTAGAGGAATAGTCATGTTACCTAGGTGGAATAGGTGCCTCTGAATGGAGTGATTCTGCCTCTGTGCATCCCAATGATCTTTAAGCCTAGTAATGGTATCCTTATGAAAAGTTTCAATCTCCTTAATCATAAAAGATTCCAAGCATGTTAGCCAATCTGTAAATTGCTCTAACTGCACCTCTACATGTTTTTCTAGGTGTTTAATACCGTCGTCCTTAGGCTGCATCTGGATGGTATGGAAACTGTCTTCTAGGTATTGGGGTGCAGATTCGAGGACAGGATTTCTTGATTTTGAGTCCTCAGCAATCGACTCTATGGACCTTTGTAATCAGTCATCCCTGTGCTGTAAAGTATCTTCCAAACATTCAAATCTACACTCAGTTTTGTGATCTGCTACCTTGGATGCTTCAATAATTGATTGAATGGCAATGTCCAATTCTTGTTTCTTTTCTTGATCTCAGGTTCTAAAGAGCTGCTATGTAAAGGTTAATTATGTGTTCTGCCAAGCATGGACTAGGATCTCTTGCCAAGCCCTGAGATTTGGCTCCAAAAAGGCAGTGGTGGCCAAATCTTTAATCCCAACATTCAGCAGACAGAAGCAGATGGATCTGTGAGTTCAAGACCACCCTGGTCTATAAGAGTTAATTAGATTAAAAGAGAAGAAGAGCTCACACCTTTAATCCCAGAACTAAAGAGAAATATAAGGCAGGAGCACAGTGCAGTCTAGACAATCTGAGGAGCAGTTCGGTTGGGAGATGCAGAGGACAAGATCGGCCCTTCAGTCTGAGCATTGGTACTTTGGAGATATCTCTAGTGGCTGGATGCTTTTTAACCCTGGTCTTCAGGTAAGCTTTATTTGTTAGATTGCAAAGAAAGGGTCACTACAATCCTGTCTCAGCCAGGAAACAAAACACAATTTTTTAGTTTTCTTGTATTCCAAAAGAAATTAGGAAACAGAAATACATAAGGAAAAATGTAATTTTTAACAGTTATGTAATCTAGGAAGAGAAAGGACCTAATTTCTCTTCCGGTCACCAGTGACAGGCTTTTATACAGAAAGTCATGACATAAAAGCTAGAATGTCTTGGATTTTGCTGTGAGACTGTTTTAACAGTGCACTGGGAGCGGGTTGATTTAATTCCATGTAATCCTCATTCTCAGAAAGGAGAGGGTGTCATAGTTTAGCAGTTAACTCTGTTGCAAGGTGTAGTGACAAATGCCTGTAATACCAGTACTCTGGAGGAAGGCAGGAGCAGAAGGATCAGAAGAAAAAGGCTAATTGTCACTAAGTAACAAGTACAAATACAGCCTGTGCTACCTGAGACCTTTTCAATCAGCCCACAATCAAAAATAGTCATTATGATTGCATCATGAAAGTTCCAAGACAAGGGAGATAGCAAGTATTAGGGTTTCCATTTATTTGGCACCAAAATCTAATCAATGACACATAGAAGGGTATAAGTTAAGTCACAGTGGCTAAGCCACAAACATTTCTCAGTTTGTCTGAAAGCTAAAAACAATGTATTTGGGGCTGGAAAAATGGCTTAGTAGACAAGAGCACTCACCAGAACAACCCACAACCACTGAAATCACAGTCCTAGAGATTCTGATATCCTATTCAGGCCTACACAGGCTCTTGCCCTCATGTATACACACACAAACAGGCACACATAATAGAAACATATCTTAAAAATGAACATGATAAATCATTGCCTTCTTGCAGCAGTGTTGTAACTCACAGATTTCAATCAAGAAAATAAATAGTAGTAGTGTTTAAATAGAAAATTGGAATTTAAAGAAGAGGTCTGTTATATAGGGAATTTAAAGAAAAAATATACTACAAAAAGAAACTTGTTGTTTGGTTCCCATGTATATCTAAGTGAGCCTCATACTATTTATTTTATTTTACTTGTCAGAATTTCTATTTTTATTTTATGCATATAAGTGTTTTTCCTGCATATATATGTATATATATATGTATGTATGTATGTATGTATGTATTCATGTAGGTATGTATATTTGTATGTGTGTACATACCATGTACATACATGGTGCCTAAGGAGGCGAGAAAAGTGCATCAGAGTCCCTGGAATTGGAGTTACAGATAGTTATGAGCCAAATGTGATCGTTGCACTCCAAACCTAGGAACTCTGCAAGAGCAGCAATTGTTCTTAATCTCTGAGTTCCCCTTTCTAGACCCTTTATATTATTACTTAAATTGTCGTTAGCAGACTGCTCTTTTCGTTTTTGTTCTTGTTTTGTTTTGGTTTGTTTTGGTTTGGATTTTGAGACAAAGTTTCTCTGTGGCTTTAGATGCTGTTCTCGAACTAGCTCTTGTCGACCAGGCTGGTCTCAAACTCACAGAGATCTGCCTGCCTCTGCCTCCTGAGTCCTGGGAATTTAGGTGTGCACCACCACAGCTGGGCCTTGGGACTTTTTTAAGGCAGGTTATTACTTGTAGCCCTACTTGGTGTGTAGCACACTATGTAGATCAGGCTGGGTTTGACAACACAGAGATCTCCCCTTCTCTATCTCCCATGTGCTGGGATTAAAGGCGTGTGCCACTACTACCAAGCCAGAACAGACAGCTTTCTTGAAGCCCATTTTTATTTTTGTTTTTGCTGTTCAAATGATTGACAGGCCCATATGGATCAACCCCTAAGGGGCAAAGGAGCATAATTTCTTTGCTCTTTATACGAAAGCCTCAACCTAGATAGTAATTTTAGGGTCTTTTTACAGTTTAAGACCACAACAACGACAAGCAAGCCTCATCCCGGGGCAGAGAGAAGATGTCATAGATTCAGGGAGTCAATTGGGAGTCGCAGCAGCAGCCTGAATGATCCTGCGGGGAGGACGCAGAGAAGTCGCTCTGTGTGGAGCCGGTAATACATAAAAGTACTGGTTTAAATGCTAATGCCAAAGTATGGCAAGAAATTCATTCTGGAAATCCAGATGGCACCCTTCTGAATGAAAGTTTCTGGCATGAAAATGCAGCCATATCTGGATTTTTTCCTGGGGGTAATACAGAAATTTCAGAAGATATATGCAAGGAATATGAAGTAATGTATTCTCTAGCTTGGGAGTCCACAAGGAATACTTCAGACATGGAGAAGAAAGCTGCTGGAATGATTTCAGGACCTGAAGTTCTGCTTTACCAAATAAACGATGAATCTGGAGAAAGCAGTTCAACAATTTCTATAGAAGATTTAAAAGAATATCTGAAAAAAAAATTAGATTTCTGTTTCTCCCGAGAAAATTTATCAAAGGATCTTTACTTGACATCTCAAATGGATGGTAATCAATTCATTCCAGTATGGACAGTAGCCAACATGGAGGAAATAAAAATAACTGACCACAGACCAAAATTTAATTCTTGAAGTGTTGAGATCTTCTCCTCTAGTACAAGTTGATGAAAAGGGAGAGAAGGTGAGACCAAGTCATAAGCGTTGTATTGTAATTCTCAGAGAAATTCCTGAAACAGCACCAGTAGAGGAAGTTAAAGCTTTGTTTAAAAATGGAAACTGCCCCAAAGTGATAAGCTGTGAATTCGCACAAAACAGCACCTGGTATGTCACTTTCCAGTCAGACACAGATGCACAACAAGCTTTTCAATATTTAAGAGAAGAAGTTAAAACATTTCAGGGCAAGCCAATCATGGCAAGGATAAAGCCACTGTTATATTTTTGGCTAAGAATCATTATCCATTAATGGATTCTAGTATGTTTACTCAACCCATTCAGACGCCAACTCAATATCCCTCACCAATCTTTATGCAGCCAGTGTATGACCCTTATCAGCAGTACTCAGGGTATAGTACTGTGCCACAATCTTGGTTTCCAAGACCAGCACCTTATTACGTAACACTACAGGCTCCTTTTCACACTGGTACTTTTGTGAATGCCTTTACCTCACCAGGATCATATGAAACAAATGATATTGCTATTAATATTTGCCCACCATCCAAAAAAAGTCCTCAGAAGCCTCATATTAAGTCAACAGAGGGATTGTTATGATTAAGTAATGGAGTACTGAGCAGATCTAGTTCAAGGAACTTTCACTCTGAACAACATAACCCTACAGTAACAGGGAATCAAGAACAAATTTATCTTTCAAAGGATACTCCCATTTTAGAGATGGATCCGAACGGGGACTTTGGTAGAAGCAAGAGAACTCTTTTGAGAGGTGGAAGACAAAGAGAAGCTGACAAGATCGAAAGACCCCAGCTTTCAACAACTGAAGCAAAGGTTTCAACATCAAAGTTTGACTTAGTAGCTACAAATGTTCCTCCTTTACCTGGAAGTTCATCAAGAAGGCCAGATGAACTTGTGTTGGAGAATAGAATGTCTGATGTCATTAAAGATGTCAAGAAAGAAAAGGATAGTGAAGAAGTGAGTGTTAGTTTCCCAGTGCATTCAGAGCATGAATGGAAAGACTTTGCTTCTGCCCAGCAACTCAGCTTAAATCCCAGTCCTTCGTGCACTGCAGAGCTTCCTGCAGTAAGCACAACTCAGCAAGAGAAGGATCAAAGGGAGCATTCCTCACTTCGAAAGGATGTTATCAACCAGATGACTGTACCAGTTTCCTCCCCAGCTATTGCAAAGCCATCAAGGCCACACACTGCTTCACCTTGCAGTAATAAGGTAAACACACCCACAGCTGTGAGTCTACAGGAACCTGGAAAGTTAACTTATTCTGAAGTGTGTTGGAAGCATCCTAGAAAACCAGCTTCAGTTCCTGTACAACCGCTATGGAAATGCCTTCCAATGTGGCAACTCCCACCAGAAATAAAGAGAATGGAGTGCCCAAGAAGCCTGTTGAGAAAACACACGAAAAACCAGAAAGAAGGTCTAGGAAGTATCATTCTGTCTTTCGAGGCAATACCATTCCACGGGGAGCAGCTGTAAAAATCAGGGAACAGAGACACCAGTTTAGCCATAGTGCTAAACCTCAGGGAGTGTCTCAAAGTAAAGGGAGAGAGCGGTTTGTCCTGCCCAGATCACCAAAACAAAAGCAAAACGTAACAAAAACTACTCAGAAACTTGTCTCTTCCCACTAAACTTGAGCCTAGATTGAACTGTTTTGAAGGGAGGAAGTAGCCACGAGAGATGGGAAGTATGTCCTTATATCTGATATATTTGGGAATTTTAAGACGAGCCCAAACTTCAACTCGAAGTGATTTTCAAATGTTGGAGATTTCCAATGAGTGTAAATATATATAAATATTTATATATATGCATATATTAAATATAAGTGTTCTATTTTTGCTTTTGATGTTAATTTGCAGGGATTTCTGCCTGGAATCAATTTTGATGGTTCAGGTTTGGTTTGAGAAAGAAAACAAAAAATATTATACATCCTTCAGTATAGGAGATGAGGGAGTAGGAGAATAAAGTTTGTGAAGAACCATTTCTGTAAAAATTAGACATTAATTTTTCTATTCTATTAAAAGTTTGGCTTGAAAACTGCCATCTCTGAAGAATGACCTTGTGCTGCAGAGCAGGTCAGTAGATGAGGTGTCTGTTCTGTACAAAGTGATTGAAGCCAAATCTTTTGTCATGTTAGGAAATGATTTGAAACCTGAATGTAATACTTGAGTACATCTTTTTGTAGTTTGGAATTTAGTTTTGGAATTTAGTTTGATTTTTGAAATTACTAATACTGTATTGTAAAGTTGATGGGAATGACATGCAGGGGAGGGGAGGGAGAGGGAGAAGGGATTGCCATGTGAAGCAAGCTTGTTCCTAATTTTAAACTAATAAAAAAAACAAAACAAAAAATGTTGTATTGTACTGCTAGCTATTAAGCTCTGATTTTGTGTAAAGCTCTGAGTATTGATCAATTGATATTCAAGAAAAGGATAGAGATGATTCAAAAGAAATTCACAAATTCTGTTCAAGACCTGAATACTGGATAGGTCACATAGATTTCAGAGGTTCAAACTGCCCTGTGACTTTTTTTAAATCCTCTTTAAAATTGGAGACAAATTGTTTTGCTGGTTTGTTAGTCTCTGTTCTTTGAGTCTTCACCTCTACAACCAAAATAACACACCTATTCCTGGATTGTGATTTCTTACTACTTAGAACAACTTAATCAAATCACAGATCTAATCTAAACGTTATAATGGATTATTGAAAATTTTATTCTTCTATCAAGGAAATTAGAATTTTAGCATGGATTAGAATTTTAGGATGCAGGATGGTACTAATTTGCCATTAATTTATTAGTATTGGTGTTAAAAACATAAAAGTGCTTCTAGATTGGGAGTCATACAATCCTCATCCAGGTTCATAGGCCAAGGCAAGTGGATCTAAATTCTAGGCCCACCTGGTTTACATGAGATTCAGTCCATCCAGAACTACCTAATGAGAGTCCGTGTCTCAAATAAAGGAAAGATTTAGCAATGTAACTGACTTTATAAATTGATATAAAAGGGAAAAATGTAAGAATTAATTTGGGGAGGTTTATTTTCTTTTGACAGTGTTTGTCATCTTTTCCCCTCCCCACCAAGAAATACAGTTTATGATTCACTGACTCAAACAGCAAGTCAAGAAATTGTTGAGATAAATTGAGAGAGATGGTTGAGCAAAATAAATGCATAATTTCTCAGTGAATAAAGTGATAGCTTTCATATATTAAATATGCAAGTTTACATACTGGTATTTAGAAAACAGCTGAAATATGAAAAACCGTGTTGCATTCATCTTTTAGAAGTCATACCATTTTTATAGTGTATGTAGGGTAGTGGTTTCTTTTTCTGCTTAGGTTTAGTTACAGAGGTAATGACCATCCCTTACATCAGTGAGTTACATATGTAAATCTTGAATCTGTAAATTGTGCACACTGGAAAGCACCAGTGTAATGTCAATATCATAGTAATATATTTAAAATGAATGTAAATGCAAATTAATTTATATTACTGTGAAACTGATCTTCCAACACCTAAGTGTCAGAGATTTGTTTTTCTGGGTAATTCTGAAGAGCTTTGAAAACACTGCAAATTCCTGTAACCCCAATCAATTATGTCTTTCTAATTGATTCAGCTTGGCAAGCACTTTTGGGTTGGTGGTTTGGTAACATGGTATATTTGCTCAGTTGGAAACAATTAGTTCTACATACTGTTATTTTTAACCATTTACTAGATGAAACATACAATAAAACTACCTGTACTAAAATTTGTGAGAACTATAGATCTGTTAAAACTTATTAATAATCAATTGTTAGCTACATTTCTGATAAAAAATATTTATTCTCATTACTTAGAAATGATAAACATTTAAAGTGTTAACACCCTCTGAATGAAGTGCATTTATAGAATAAACATTTTGCAAAAAAAAGAGTGTCATCAATTCTATTCTTTTGCCCAATAATCAAAGCCTTGGGGTTTCAATTTCTGGCTTAACAAGTTTCTGATTATGAGGGAGGGACCCTTCTTCAATAGCATTCAAAACTGCTAAAAATCTATCTAGGTCCCTATGAAGTCGACCACTTAATTTTATATCCAACCTATATCCTCTGAAGAGAGCAATAAGTTGCTATTGAGATCATGGAGATGGCTCAGTGGGTAAGGGCTCTGGCTCAGCAAGCATAAAGACATGAGTTGAAATCCCAAGATACCACATAAAAAATCTAGGCATGACTCAACATCAGAATGTCTGTAACCGGAGCATTGAGGTGAGTGGCAGATCCCAAGAACTCTGTCCAGCAAGCCTAGCTATTTATGAGAATATTGGTTGGCCTGTGGGCATGTCTGTGGGGCATTTTCTTGATTTATATTTAATGTGAGAATATCCAGCCTGCTTTGTGTGGTGCTAAACCTGGGCAGGAGGTCCTGTTTTATTTGTAGGAAAATAGGCTGAGCTAACCATGAGGAACAAGCCAGTAAGCAGCATTTCTACACGTTGGGTTGTTCCAGGTTCCTGCCTTGGCTTTCTTCAGAGATAGACTATAAACTATAAGGTCTATGATAAAACAAAACATTTTCCTCCATGTTTGATTTTGCCCTGTATAAACAGGTTGCTCTTGGGATGTCTTCCTCAATAAAGTCTGCAATTTATGTTTTGAGACAGTCTCTCAATAGACTTCGAATTCACTTTTTCACTAAACTACCTTGCCTCAGAGTACCTGGATCCATCTGTCTCTATCCAGTAGGTATTGGAGTTACAGTCATATATCACCATGATGATTTTTACTTGGGGATTTGAACTCATGTCATTGTACTTGTGCAGTAAACGCTTTGCCATCTGAGATAACTCCTCTGCCCATAAACCCCCCATTAAATATGCATGCACTGCCTACCACCATGACTTTGCTCCACAATCACAGACTCTTAACTATCTGAAACCTAAACCCAATTAAACTCCTTCTTTTATAAGTTGCCTTGGTCAGGGTATTTTTATCACAACAACAGGAAAATAACCAATATAGTAAATATTAAACATTCCCTGTATCTTTAGCCATAGATATATCTTGATGGTGCTGTGGAGTAATCCTTTTGTACACTGTGAAAATTTGACACTCAGATTGATTTAATAAAAAGCTGACTGCCCTATAGCTAGACAGGAATTATAGACAGGGCTGCCAAGCACAGAGGATGCTGGGAAGAAGAAAGGTGAAGTCAGAGGAGTTGCCAGTCAGATGCAGAGGGAGCAAGATATGCTGGAGGACAGACTAGTAAAGTCATCAGCCACATGGAAGCAGATAGATTAAGAGAAATGATTCAATTACTTTGTAAGAGCTAGTAAGTAACAAGTCTGAGCTATCAGCTGTGCAATTATTATTGATAATAATTCTCTTGTGGATATTTGGGAGCAACTACTGATATACAGGAAACCTCTCTCTATATAATCGGGGCTATATTTCTTATTTTGTCAATGCCAGGAGTTAAACACTCTACTACTGAACTACAGTCCCAGCTGATGCTGGCATATTTTACTCCTCTGTTCAGAAACCCCCAAGTAAATATGCATGCACAGTCATCCTGCTATCTTTGGATCCCCCCATTCCTATATAAAACATTTGTTCTGCATTCTATGAGATAGTGGGAGCCTTTTACAGTCAAACACCCACACTTGTAGATATATTATGTATTAGCTACTTCACACCAGTTTGAAGCTTGGAGGTGTACTGTGTATTAGATACTTCACACTAGTTTGAAGAAAATTCCTGAAAGAAACAACTTAATGGATAAAATTTGCTTTATAGTTTCAGAGGACTTAGCATATGGAGGTGGGGAAGGAATGATGGGGAAGGTCACTTCTCATTAGAGTGCACATGCTAGCTTTCTTTCTGTTGCTGTAACAAGCACTGGGAACAAAAGCAATGTTGGGAGGACAGGTTTATTTGTCTTTCACTTCCAGGTTGTAGTCCATCATTGAAAATATTTGTGGCAAGTGCTGAACAGGAACTGAAGTAGAAACCATGTAAGAACACTGCTTACTGGATGACCTGTAGCATTTTTATACACAGTCCAGGACCACCTGACCAAGGAATAGCGATCCTAGCATTGGGCTGGACCCTGCCCCATCAATAAATAATCAGGCCAGTTCACCACAGACATAGCCATTGGCTAATCAAATCTGTGCTCCTCCTTCTTCCCAGGTGACTTTGGGTTGTGTAAGTTGTTAATAACAACTAACTAGAAGAGCAGTTATGTTGGAAGCAGGAATGGAGGCAGGATGATGGAACAGTAGATTCAGCCAGCACCAGGATAATACTCGGAAAAGACCTTCCCCTCCAAGTAACCCATCTCCTCCAACAATTTACCACCTCCCAAAGTTTTCAGAAACTTCCAAAATGGGACCACCAACTGGAACCAAGCACTCAAATTATGAGCCTGTAGGGATTGTTTCAGGATCAAATTACAACAGAAGGACACTATACATGACACCAAATTGGGTGGCAGGAGAGGTTCTGGTTAGAACAATCCAAGGTCAACCTAAGCCTTCAGTCCTTGAGTAGAGGCCACTGATCACCAGAGAAACCAAGACTCTTCATTTGAACCTTATTTATTTTCTCTTTACAATTAGGGAACATCATGATCCCACTTCCCATTTATAT